GCAGCCATCCCTGGTGCAGCACATCCCATGTGTGCAGCCATCCCTGGCACAGCACGTCCCTCTGCCCCCCGGCACAGCCACTGCCGGTGCGTGCACTGTGTTTTGATGGGTTTGCTCAGGCCTGAACCCCAGAGAGCGGCTCTTTAATATTTATCAGCTCATAAATTCTTAAATGTAATGAATGTGACTTAAGTGGTCCCTGATCCTGCTCACACTGAAGAGCTCTTGAGATGTGCTGGGCCGAGGGAATCCTTCCTGGGGCCCGTTCACATCACTGGCAACTGCCCCGCCCAGGCAGAGCAGAGCCACTGGTACCTCTGTGGGAGCTGCAGCCCTGCTCCTGCCCAGCAGCAGCCTCTCCTCCCAAACCAGGCCTCCCCCCTGGGACCATCCCAGCACCCTCCAGTCAGGGACCTTATCTTCAACACAGCACCTCTGTTAATTATTTCCCCTTCCCTGTCTCCTGATGAGGAGCCCAGGCTCAGGTGGGAGCTGCCCTGGGAGCAGTGACTCCGGTGGCTCTGTCCCCGTGAGCTGCAGCTCTGGACCAGCACATTGAATATAGCCAAGGTACTCCCAGCTGCACGAGGAGCATCGTTCATCCCACTGGCTGAGGACTGATCACAGCACTGTGAGCACTGAGAAAATTTCATTCATTTCTTTTTAATTAATAAAATTGGTTTCACTGCTGGCTCAATGTTTACTGGCAGTGGCAGGGATGGGAATGCAGGCAGGGCCCTGGGAGTGACCGTGGGGGACAGCCAGCCCTGTCCCCCCCCCACGATGCTCCTCACACACCTTCTTCCACGCACGCAGAGCCGAGCAGCAAATAAATGCAATCATTAACAGAAGCCTCCAACCCCTTGGAGATGATGGATGCTCAGGGGCATCTGGGATGTGGGCACATTCAAGTTGGTCAAGCTGGGGTTGTCCCTGCCCGCCTGCAGCACAGGGGACACGAGCTGTGCACAGGAGGAGCTGATGTCTGTGCTGGGGCTGCCAGCCCAGCCCGGGGGTGCCAGTCCGGTGCCACTCCCCGGTGATGTGCCCACACACACGACAGATTAACGCTTTTCATTTGCTCTGAACGTTTTCCAAGTTCCTCTCCAAGCCCTGCCCAGCTTTCCATGAGCAGGAGGGTGTAGCAATGAGAGGACCTGATGGCATCAATACTGCACTGAAGTCCAGGCATCACTGCATAATTCATTACCTGACAGCTAATTAGCTGGCTGGTCCAATTAGTGACTCCTGTACAGCCAGGGCTGCGGGTGTGGGGGCTGGCACTCACGGCAGGCTGGTGGCCACAGGGGCTGACACTTGGCAGGGCCCACGGGGGTGTCGGCTGCTGTGGACCTTCTGCCAGGGGATGGTGGTGGGTGTCACACCCCAGGATACTGTCAGAGGCACTTTAGCACTGGCTGGGGCTGCTCACAGCCCAGCAGGAACACCAGCCCCACAGTGGTCCCCCGGGCTGGCCACAGGATCGCTGCTGCCGGCTCCCAGGAGGGGAAGGGGAGCTGCTTGGGGCTCACACTGTGTGGTGCTGGATCCCAGCCAGCCCTGAGCCCTGAGCAGGGCCCTGCTCCCCTGCTCCTGCAGCCAGCACATGTGAGGGCAGCGGCCTGGCTCCAGCACGCTCCGGGGGCTGGAGATAAGGACAGCTTAGGGATAAATATTTACCCAGTGACTGAGTGGATTCAACTGAGTTCGTTCCTATTAGAGGATCTGTTAGTAATTATCTGAAGACTCGTTATTACCTGGGGACCTATAATCTGCCACAGTAATGAGTTCAAGTGGCTCATGTGGCATAACAAGCAGGAAAGGGAAGGTGGGAAGGGGCCGCTGCCACCGCAGCAAGGGCAGGGCAGGGCTCAAGGACAGTGGAGTCGCTC